GGCCACAGACAGAGCGGTGGAGGAGGAGACAGAGATGTTCTGGTTGGCGATCTGCACGGTGACATCCCGGAAAGCCATCATCAGGGTGCTGCTGTGGCCCTGGGGCAGGCCCGCGGCCTCGGCGGCCTCCTCCCCGGTTCCCGGGCGAGCGCTCTCGGGCTCCCGCATCTCTGCCTCCAGGCCGGGCGGCCCGGCGCCGCCGTGCAAGGCCTGGTGGATCTGGTAAGCGCCGCTCTCCTGCAGGGAGCACATGGTTTTGAGGCTCCAGGTGCTGAGGGCGTCGTCTATGGACTTGGCCAGGGACTGCACCTGCTCGGTGAAGGAGTCCTCCAGCTCGGTGAGCGTGCCCGCGAAGGCGGGCGGCAGGGAGGGCGAGCGCACCAGCGGCAGCCCCAGGAGGCCGTAGCCCTCCATGAGCGCCTTCTCGGCCGCCAGGCTCTCCGCGGTGGGCGCGCGCACCTTGCGCAGGGAGATCCTACGCGGCAGGCGGCTCTCCAGGAGCGAGTTGCGGATCTTCTCGAAGTTCTTGCTGAGCTGGTACTGGCGGAAAGCGGTTTGGATGGTGCAAGCGGCCCGCCGGGATACCAGGTGGCCCCCGTACTTGTGCTCTAGCATTTCAATCTGCAACAAGGGCAGAGAGGAGGAAAAGCGCACTTAGGAAAGGTGTGTCACAGCCCTTCTAAAAGAGGGTGCTGATGGCTGTCCTTTAATGCGGGGGAGTCACCTGGCTAAACTTTGCAGGGGCCCAGGAATGCACAACTGTGGGGCACTGAGGTCTGAAAACTAGCGTGCATGGCAAGAGAGAGCAGGTCCTTGGCAAGACCCCTAGAAGTGTAGGATGTCGGAAGGGATTCCAGGGCTTGGTGAGGCCTCAGGGCAGGGGAGAGGTATTACCGATTATAGTAAGATATTGCTGGTTTGGTGATCATTTTAAAATGTTCCTATCAGTGATGCATATGGAAGTATTTATGGATGAAATTCATGTCTTGAATTTGTATTAAAATACTCCACCAAAAAAGTGTGTTAGATGAAAAAATATTAATAAAAGTTGTTGGAGCTGGGTGATAACCATAAGACAGTTTATTACACTATTCTTTCTAGTTTTGTGCACATTTTAAAATAATTTAGCCCGGCCGGGCATGGCTCAGCGGTTGAGTGTGGACCTGGGATCCAGGCAACCGGGGTTCGATTCTGGTCAGGGCACGTGCCTGGGTTGCAGGTTCTATCAATGACTCTCTCATCATTGATGTTTCTCTCTCTCTCTCTCCCTCTCCTTTCCTCTCTCTGAAATCAATAAAGATATATTTTAAAAAACTTTAAAAATTAAACAGAAATGCTTTTTAAAAATTGCTGCTACTACTCCTTTCACCTGCTTTTCCTCTTAGCATTTATGTCACTGCATTGGGGCAGTCCCTGGGACATCATAAGGGCTGGGATTGGGGTTTGATTATCTCTGTGTTCCCAGTACCCAGCCCAAGGGCTGGCACACAGTAGGTGCTCAATAAATGTTAATTTAATTCAAAGTTGGGTGGATGGATGGATGGATGGATGGATGGATGGATGGATGGATGGATGATGGATGGATGATGGATGGGTGATGGATGGCTGTATCAAGAGGGGAAGTCCCCTCCAGGCTACCATGCCTTACAATTCGAGTCACCTCTGTGCTCAAAAATGGGAGCTGTACAACCAGGGCTGGACTTGGTGGGGCTAGCTGGTAGGGGCATGTGGCCTCATCTGGGTAGATCTGATCCCAGGAAAATGTCTGACAAGGGGCCAATTTATCTTCAAGGCCTTTACTTACATCCTCTCAGCTCTGTCCCCTGTCTATGATCTTTTCTATCCCTTATTATGCTCTTACTTCTCTCTTATCAGAACCTCTCAGGAAAGGGTGAGAAAGATATTCCCCCTGAGATGTGAATGACCAGTAACATTTAACCATGCCCCTTCCTGGAGGTTTTTGCATTTAAATAAGGGACAAGTGCTACGTTAAGGAGATGGACAAACAGTAGCATTGTGGGCACCAACCAGTCCTTAGGGAAGTTTAGACAGCGAGGAAGTATTCCTGGGCCCTGAAATTATGTCCTATTCACAGCCATACACTCCACTGACACCTAGTGTCATTCCTGACCTAAGGATAGGGATAGATGGGCTGAGATAAGCAACTTACGGCAAGAACAGCATCATCCCTCCCATGTTCCCCCAGGACCATGGGTGGGGAGGGGGATAGATAAAAAGGCCAATTTTCATTCCTCAGTAGAAAGAACCATTCTACCCACTTCCTGCTCCACTCAACCCACCAGGGAATGCAGCTGGAGTGACTGCCTTCCCACAGCCCCAGCAATACCCTTTGTTCCACCCTGTGGGTACCCACAGCTGGACCAGTGGAGGCACCCTCCTGCCCAGGAGACCTCACAGATATAATCCCAATCCTTAGGGACAAGCCCTGGTAAAATGAATGCCCTCAACTCTCTCTGCAGGATCCTCTGCTAGTCCCACCATTCAGTGCCTTGAGCCATCCTCAAATCTAGTGGCATTATGCTCTCTCTCCACATCCAACACTCTTCTCTGAAGATAGCTGGAAAATTCCTTATTAAGGTTTGGATGGCCAAAAAGGCTTCCTACAACTCCTCCCAGAAGTATTTGCATTTCACAAGGTACAAGGCTTTAAACAGAAAGCAGGAAGCTCTCCCATCCTCATAATCTTCATATTGTACGTAGGAACATTAATATTTCTCTTTTAAAAAATCATACTAAATGTATTAGTTATCTATTGCTACGTAGCAAGTTCTCGCAAACTTAGCAGCTTACAACAACACCCATTTATTTTTTCACAGTTCTTTATGTCAGTAGTCTGGGCACAGCTCAACTGGGTTCTCTCCTTGGGATCTTACCAGGCTGAAACCAAAATGTCAATCTCATGTAAGCTCAGAGTCCTCTTCCAAGCTCACTGTTGGTGGCAGAATTCAGTTCCTTGAGATTTTTTAAGACTGAGGACTGTTACTAGAGGCTGCCTGCTGTTCTCAGCCACACCGCCCTCTTCGCAACAGGGCTGTTTGACCCTTTGAGGCCAACAGGAGAGAGTCTCTCTGATGCTTCACCTGATTAATTTAGGCCATCCAGAGTGAAGGAAACTGACCACTTACCTGCTTCCTTCTCTCTCAATTTCTGTCTCTCTCATATCTCTCCCCAAGCACCAAGAGAAACTGACATCAGACAGGAATTCACATCTCTTTCCTACCTGGTCTATTCACACTTTTAGGGAAACCCCATATCCAAGAGCATTCCTTTCAGGTTATGAGATGCTATTGGCAACAGAGGAAAAGTATGAAATCCCATTGCCTGAAATGTTTCCAAAACAGTTAAAGAGGTCTATCCTTTTTGCATGGTATCATCCTGCTTGGAGGCAGGACGCTGGCTGAGGTAACCCAAAGAGACTTCTACCAGCCACTGTCCATGTTTTGGCCAAGCAGAGGAGAAAACCTGATTTTAAATTCTTGAATCTGTTCCATTAAGTCCTCCACTAGACTATAGGCCTCATGAAGGCTGAGACTTTGCCTGCTGTGTTCGCTGTTTCATCCCCAATGCTTGGAGAGTACCCAGTACATAGTAGGCCTCCAATCAATATTTATTGAATTAATTAAAGAATTAGTTCCAAAGTTATCTTTGTGATTCTCAGAAACCTTCCTAATCTGACCTGTAACTTTCCTCTCCCAGAGCTGACGATCTCACCCTCTCTTGCCTCCTTTGTAAGTTTACTTCATCCTCTAGTCTCTCTTTTACTTGTATTTCCAACCCCCACCCTTCCATTGGCACCTTTCCACTTGCCTACAGACTCTCCCAGATCTCCCCAGGCTAAAACACAACTCAGCTTGGCTCCCCTGCTTTGGGGCACTAGCCCAATTTCTTTTTATTTCCATCAAAGCTTTTGGAGAACCGGTCTACACCCTCTGCCTCACTGCATGAGCAGATGCCAAATTGCTGATCCAACCCTGCATGCCCTGGCTCCTTGAAGTCTGTCTCCTGCTCCCACCAGTCTTCTAAAATGATCTTTAATCACTAAATCTGATGGCTCATCCTCAACCCTCCTCCTTCCTCTTTTCTGCAGCTCTTGATATTTTTATCACCCTGAGACTCTGTCCTCAGCTCTCCAGTCTCCATAGAGTTCCTTAATCCTACATTTTGATCACCAAATCCCTAAGCATGCTAGTTACAAGCCAGATATGTGCCATCTTCTACTCTCCAGGCACATTTTAATTATTTTTCTATACACTTCTGGACATTTTCCATGATTTCTATGTTGGAAGTCATTAGACAAGCCTCTGGTAGTTGATAATTAACAAGTAATTAAGAGGGAAACTATCTCTGGCAAAGCCTTTGTGGCAACTCTAAGGATGTTCTGCAGGCAGATGTCTTCTTACCTCTTACCTAAGAACCTTGTCTATAATTTTATAACAACTTCACTCTACTTGAATGGATTGATGAACAAGCCATAGGAAATATGCCCAGTCCCAGATCTGCCTCTTCTTTGCTGGTTGACTTTGGACAAGTTTCCTAACATCTCTGTCTCTCAGTTTTCTTACCTGTTAAATAAGGCTAATCCTGCTGACAATCGCTTATTGTGAAGCTTAAGTTATTTCACATAGCACATGGCACATAGTAGGGGATCAGTAAGCGGTAGCTATCTAATGATGTCAATGATGACTATGAATGACTCTCAAATCTCCATTCTTAGCCTTGACCCTGCATTTCCAACAGCCTGTGGGTCCCCTATCCACCTATACAAAGCCATCGTCTTTCCCAACCTCACCCAAACCAGCTTTCAATGACTTCCTTATTTGCCTAACTGCACCTTGGCTGTATTGTCATCCAGTTTGGGGACCTCTCATTTGTCCTTGGGTCCTCCTTTGCCCCATCTTCCACATATACCAGCCCCAAAGTCCTCAATATTTGCAATCATCTTGACCTTTCCACCAGACTATTGCCACATGGGGCTCCCTTTGACTCCCCACCTGGACCACTTTTGCAGCCTCCTCCCTGCCTCCCTGCTTCCTTCCCACCCCCACCATCTACCTGATACACCAGTACCCTGATCAATGCTCTCAAAAAGCAGATGTAAACACAGGCTTTTCGCTGCTTGAGACCAGTGCCCAAAAGAAGTATAAATGCTTCCTCCTGGCATTCTGAAGCTGAGCAATCTGGCCCTGCCTGCCTCTCAGCCTCCACTGCACAAAGCCCATGCACACAGCAGCTCCACTCTGCCTGGCTCTTCTGCTCTGAGCATTTGCTCAGCCTGCAATGTTCTCCCCGCCCTCGAATCCCATTCTTGCCCCCTTCCCTCCAGGTAAAGCATGTCTCCTTTCTTTAAGACCTGTCTCCAATGTACCTCGTCCACAAAGCCTTCTTAGTCCCCCAATAGACCAGATCTCCCTGCCTTGGGCCCCACAGAGAATGCTGTTTTCTCCACTCATCTTTGTAATATTTATCTAACCCTGCTTTCTCTCCCCCAGACTGCAACAGAGCACACGTTATTTGAGGCCTCGATATGTTTTAGTCATCTTCGGATCCATGTATAGCACCCACCACAGAGCCTGGCACAGAACAACTGCTCACTGTGGTAT